ATCTAATAAAGTAAATTATTATTAAAAAATATACAAAGATAAAATTAATGCAGGAAAATATCATATCTATTCGAGATTTGTGCCAGCGACAGTATTGTGAATTAATACGAATGCATGCGCGTCTAATTTGACTTAATTTATTCAACTTTTACAATTGTAAGTGCTAAAATCAACATGAAATGGGGAAATGTGTGGCAGGCTCTTGATAGACTGCGAAGAAGATTACGACGAAGAACATTGTCGGCTACTCCATGCAAATTTTAATGATGCTATGATATTGCACAATTGACGTGTCTCGTTAATTGAAGTTTTTACCTTTCTTCGGTCTCGCGTTTGCCGCATCGAGTCACACGACACACATATCGCAGTACGTGTGTCGAAAAAAGAAGGTTGACTCTTACTCAATCGGCGTGATTCAGAGAGTACGCAGGGTCGTGAGTACCGGGCGACAAGCAGCAATCTCCATTAATGACTACGTAATACAGCGAGGAAACTGTCTTGAGCGTTAAACAGCAACGCACGAAAAGTCTCGAACTAGCGGCTGGGAAAGCGATTATGCCAAATTAGGGGAGCGCGTCTAATGTAATAAGAAAAGAGAAGAAACAATGTAAACAATAAAATAACTTCGGTAATCACACTTTTGTTCCATCTACGGAAAGATGGAGACGATGGAGTTTCCACCAAACTAATTATGTATAAGCCATCTTTTTCCATTTAAAGAAGCATATTTTTTATCAGTGTTTAATCGAATAATCTCGTTTTGCAGATTCTTTTTTTCTACTATCGCGTGTTCGTGAAATCGAGAGTGCAAATGGAATCTGACCAATTAAACTCACAACCTACCGCAACCAGATACCACGAAGAGATTATTACCTTTATTTGCATTTTAAATAGGACATAGATAAAATGGCACGTACAAAATTACTCGTTTTACGGTTTACTTCCTCGACTGCAGCTCGCGGGCATTTCGTCGGCAAACGTTTAGCGTAATGTGCGTTCGCCATATGTGATTATTCGTGCCTCGTTTCACCAATTGATTTATCGTAAAACACTTTATATAATACGCTCTGCCTTACATATTTCCGCTTTATTTCTGTCGGCAAAATTACCTTGAAGATCGGTTAACAATCAGGACAGTTTCTTATTGTTTGCGATTGAGATCATGAAATCAATTTTACCGCATCGCGGAAATCGTTATTTGTTTCACCGTTTGATTTGCTTGTTATCTTTTTTGCGTTTTTTTTTTCAAGGGAAACCTCTAGTAAAACGTTCGCGATTCTTTGGACTCTGTAGACCGATAAAGAATTTATCGGATGCTCGAGTAATCTTGTTTCCACACGATCGCGATCACGATTATCACAACTTTGCTCTGCATAATTCTTAGGTGTGTGTAATACCGGTTATGCGTCTCGACACTTTCCCACGTTCCTACGACGCTATGTTAGGAGATAAACAATTATCGGTACTCATTACGATTGCATTGTTATGGCGTGATAATACGCGCATAAAAATTCATAGTTCAGAAATGCATACGCCATACATATTTTCAAGGCTTCGAAAAGGAGGAAATCTGAAAAAAATCTGTACTATAAAAACCAATAAGTTCCTTGAGGAATCTTTTAAATCCTAATTTTTCGTAATTTTTAATCATTTTGCACATTCTTCTTAAGAATTTATTTTATGATGTATTGTATAAATATTCTTTTTTCGTTTTACGAAATAGATAGTTGGAGCAAGCAGCAGAAATTATTGACGTTCAAAATAGAAATGATATAACAATCCTCAGAAGTGACGTCAATAAAATGAAAAGGATTGTATTTAAGGGATCGTCAAAGACTTTAACGGATGTTGCCTGTTCGAAGGAAAGGAAATCACAGAGAATTGGCCATAACCGTACGTATGAATAACAATGATCGAAAATACCGACAGTAACATTCAATGCATTTCCGGCAATTTCACGTGAATTCCTTACAGTCTGTCCTACTTAAATTAGCATTAAGAGTCCGACGAATTGCGCAAGTATCAACGTAGCGTCACCTCTCTTTTTTTTTTGTTCGCCTAATACTTAAGTATTCTTTTGCGTCGCGACGAAGTCGATTAAGATCCGCCCAAAAGCGACAAAAAAAAAGTCGCGAGAGACGCACGGTTGCACCGTATAAACGTGCGATGAACACATTCGTTTGTACTTGAACCTAGAATTGCGGTCGGTACGTGAGACCGGTGCACGCATTATCTGCCAATGAGATTAGCACATTGTCGAAGTCTCGGCACGCAGGAAACTAGTATCCTTAAAAGGAGATACCTGCACAAGCATAACGTCACTACGTATGGCATTGATAGTACAACTCCACGTGTCCAGAGCGTGTATATTAATTTAATTTAATAATATATAATTTACATATTTCAATAGTGATCTGAACATCGTACAGAAGAAAAACCAGTATTATCATTTATGGAAATACTTTAAAAACTTATCTTCATAAAAATAAAAAAGTTAACAAAAAATACTTATTAAGCAGATAAAAAATACATAAAAATTTTTATTTTAATATATGAGCGTTATAATGTTAACGCATAACTATAATATATGCCTCAGTTTGTGGAGTAAAACTTTAATATTTAAAAGAATTGGTCATAATTTTGCACTAAAGCAAAAGTAATTACACGAAAAAAAATTATGTTGTATCAACAGCATTTGTTCGACTTTTAATGAATGAATAAATGGTACTGATTCGATATTAAATATTAATCAACAATAAAACATATTACATTTTTGTTTTAACTACTGTTAAATTAACAACATTTATTCCAGTTGAACTGCGTTGTTATTGCAGTTGGAACGCAATATCATCTTTTTTCCGTGTAAGAAGAGCCATAAAGTTATATGCTAATAGAACTATAAACTTAGATTGTTGAAACTAATGAAGCCGCGCTAGATTAATGATAAATGTAAATGAATGTTCATCGGAAATACAAATCTTTTTTTTCACTTTGCAGCTCAACGTAAGGATACGTTTTTACGAGCGCTTAATGTGGAAAATTCAAAAACATCTGAGGAAAAATTGCGAGCTATGTTTTCCTATATTATACAATATCCACACGATGAGCGTGTAAGCGTTATGTAAACAGATATATATTGCGCTATATATACATGCGGTCGGTACTGCACGGCACGGAATATGCAGATACATACACATAAGAACTTTGCCATAACAACTCAAGGTCTCGCAAACTGGCCTAGACCATACGCAGTTACATACATTCCAGATCATCGTGGGACTCTCCTCTCAGGCGTCGGTCAGCTGGGCGCGGCTGTTTATACTTTATATTGTTACGGATTGCCGTCATGTTAATCGCAATCTTTATGGATAACCCGCGTGGTCACTGCCAGACTGTCAAAGAGAGCGCCGATCATGAAAGCAAGGTGGAACATGTAGTTCAAGATCAGCTGCCGCGCGAACGCGCGCCACGAGAAACGTTAGCATGTACGCGAACCGATTCATATCTGCGTGAACGTGATATGTAATACGCGCGTACGCGCGATGCATGATGAATCGGTTCACAAGTATTGCTGACAATTTGCATAATTTTTTTTAATCCTGACTCACAGCATCTCCGAAATGATGTTGTACCACAGCGTGGAGATGAACTCTTTACATGCGATCAGTCAAGCAGGGCAGGTTCGCCAACATTTTCTATATATCGGCTCTTTTGCCTCTATCGGCTTATCGTGGATTTTAACAATAGCGCCTAGTTCTCAGGACGAAGAGAGTTCGATTTGAATGAGGAAACAACGTGTCGTCATATCTCGGCGAGATTAAACGTAATTATGCGGATAGACTCGTAAGCGATGAATCATCTTATAATGTTTTAAATTGCAGGGTAATTATTCTTAAAGTCAATGCTTCACGGAAACTATTCATCGATGTTTCATATGCAACACGCCTTTCCGACTCATCTGTGAATCGTATGCATAACAGTATTACGTTCGCCGTTTCTGCAATCGCTATATCTGTTCATTTCTATTTTATTCATCATTATAGATTTTTCTCTGAACACTGATTTCAAACGGTGGGTTTAATATCAGGTAACGCAAATAAAGCACTTTTAGCATCTTTTGTTACTTCAGTGAGACAAAGAATCGGGTGAAGTCTTCATTTCTGTTATCTAAGAATTCATCAACGATCTCTTCTCTCGGTAATATGATTTAAGCAAACTTGATAGATGAAAGTCTTCGAGAATAAAGTGTAATAGGATTTCCATTTACTCTTCGTTATAAGTTCATTTATCAAACTCTCGACGTATCTATCTATCTAAATTGCATCATAATCGCCAAGAATGGATTCACTCTGATTTTGAATCATTTCTATGCTTTACCGCTCTGGCACACTCTTCTGTTTGAAGATATCAGACAGATTTTAAATGCTTACAAACGCTTGCGACGAGCAAACGTGCATTCCGATAGACAATGGGCCTCATTGAGAGGGGTCGACGAGTGACTCTTGTCAACGTGAGAGCGTCAGTATTTTGCAATCATCAGTCTGTTGGCCCTCGACCACCATCGCTCTGCCTCTCATCGTTATTACCTGGCACTCCTACATTTTTGTTTGCCCTTTCTTCATTCTTCTTCATCAAATTCACACAATTTTTGCGAAGAAGAACGAAGTTTTCTGTTATTTTTTATTATTATAAAAAAAATCTGAATAAAACAAAAACTCTATTGTCATATGTCTTTACTAGTGTCTTTTAATTTGTGTCTTTAGTTCGTCTTCAACCCTTTATCTAAAAATCTAATCTTCGCTTTACCTCTTATTTTTTTTCACACGTTAGACACCATAGAATGACGTCTTCCTCTTCATCTTCCACTTACTCCCACGACAATCTGTCTAAGTAGTAGCAACACTGACGAATCAACGACACGAATGAGGTGTGCGCAAATCCCCCACTTTTTTCGCTACGGATGACCTCCTCGTGGTCGCGTTCGAACAGCTTCGCAGGGATAAATGTACACTTGACGTCGGCCACGAGGCTTTTAGTGTCGGCAGAACGAAACCGTCGCTCGTGTTAGTCGTGCTCGATCGGTGGAACGGAATTTTGTACGACGACGACGACGATTTATCGCGTACACTTACGATCGTTTCAATCGTAAATGATTATTACCGAGAATTAACACCAGTTCGATTTTCGGGACATGGAGTTCGGTGGAACCGGCGGGGTGTCGGTTGTGAACCGCGCCAGCGGAAACTTTGTAAGTCTTCGTAGTGATTGTCGTGGTGATTGTCGTGATTTTTTTAAGTGATACAAATTTAACACTAGAAGGATGAGACTAAAGAGGACAACGTTAATTTGATAAGTGAATAATGCTTCGTACGCTAAAAAATTACACAATTAATGGAACATAACAAATATTGAAGCATTGATAAAATATTAAAGAAATGATAATGAAATAAAAAAATGCTGCAGTCATAAGAATAATTCTCAACTTTCTTAATATAATTCAAATGTCACTTTTCTTGATGTAATTAATAATTTTCAAGTTTTTTCTAGTGTTAAATATCATAAATATATCAAATATATGAGGAGGACGTGTGATTGAAGTAAATTTTAAAATAGTAAAATATATGTAATGAGAAAAATGGGCAAGTCAATAAGAATATTAAAATTGCATCAACAAATTTTTTATACCATTATGAAGAATATATGAGGATGATGTCAAGTAGAAACGAAAAAAATATAGTAATTCCTAAATTTCAACAAACACTAGCAAGCATATTTTTTTAGATGTGGTATACATCAAAAAATTGTATTTCTTAATAGGACATAGTTTTCGTGTATTTAAGTATCACAAAATTATACATTACAAAATATAGTTAAATAAAAAATTAAATAGGCGATTAAATAATCAATTAGCAAAAAAGAGACAAAAGAGCCGCAATTAATTGTTCGTGCCTCAAATGTAAGGCACGAATAATTGGCTGCGGCTTTCTTGCCCCTTTTCTTTGTAAATTAAATTAAGTTTGGTTGCTAATTTTGCTTGGTTACTTGCTAATTCTATTTAAGTTGTTTCTCCTTCGCATTATATCTGTGTATATAATCAATAATAATAATTGATCGCTCTGATACATCACTCAATTTGCTTTAAAAATTTGACCTTTTCTTGTGTGAAGAAAAATAAACTAATACATTGCCTAAAGTTATATTAAATTTGTAATATATATATAATGTTAAGTAAATAGGATTGTATTGATATTCTTTAGATACACAATTTTGAATAAAGTACGACTTTTAATAATTACGGTAATATAAATTAAATATGCATTTTGCTTATGTCTTCATTACGTTCCATTACGCGGTATTTTGATAAATTTCATAACAAATTATATCTATTAATATATTTTTATAAAATTTCGCTAATTTCTGTGACCTGCCCTTATAACTTATTACTTGTAACAACAGTCACAGAATCATAATGCAAAAATAAAGTCTTAAATAATTTTTCACGATCATCAAACCTGCCTGTAATGTAAATGAAATAAAGATAAAATTGTCAGTTACATTAAATTTTGGTAATTTTCTAAGATTTTACATTAACTAAGGTTTACTAAGATACACAGCAATGATTATTTACGATACTTTAAATGTAAATATATATTATCTAATGTATATCAAATAAAAGCAATCTATTTGAGTGGATTTATGAATTACCTCCTTAGTTAAATTTTTGCAAACAACATTTTTATGCTAATATGCTCAAATTCAGACAATATTTATAATAATACATCTTTCACAAATTTTGGTGACAACTTATGTTAGTTTCGACAAATTTTAACAATCGAAATTTTTTTAACATCCACTCAAATAATATATTTTTATCGATTAATACGTGATCTTAATAAAGTGCTTTTCCTAATAAAACGAAATGTTAATTAAAGCAACATAAAATACTAAGTTTTATATCGTTTGCAAATTTAAGAACAAGTGTAATAGATATATTTTTCATTAAACTTATTTGTACGAAACCAAGGTTGTTACATCTCGATCAATCACAAATGACCTACTAGTATGCTTAAGCAGCTACCTTTCATACTGGGAGGAAGTACGTAACGCGAAGACGTAACACGTGACCGTGAGACTAACAAATGAATTGCGCGTAAATGCACTGCTCATAATATCATGGCGTGATTTAAAGAAACAATGAGATTTCTGTATTAACTCGTAAGAAAGGTTCCATAATAATTTGCGCAGTAATTTCTGGCATCATAATTTGGCTTGCACGAAACAAGGCTCATCATTGCAGAAATTTCATAATTATCATATTGTAAGAGAAAAAACTGAACCCATTTTACATTGCTGTGTATCTTAGTAAATCTTAGTTAATGTAAAATCTTAGAAAATTACCAAAAATTTAATGTAATTGACAATTTTATCTTTATTTCTTGATATCAACACATTAATACAGACGAGTCTGACAATTGTCAAAAATTACTTAATGCTTCACTTTTCCATTATGGTTCTGTGACTGTTGTTCAAAGTAATAAATTACAAGCAGGTCGCAGAAATTCGCAAAGTTTTATATGTAAGAAATTATTAATGGATTATATATTATTTCCCTTTATTTCTTTTTTTTCTTATATTTCTTTAATGACGCCATCAACTAGATTATCGTCTTGCATCTAGAGATTATATCTTGACAAATTTTTTTTTGGTTAAACACTTCAGAAACTTTTGAGTCTAATACATATATTATTTATCTATATTAAACAAATGTGCAATAATCGAAACATAAAAGAAAAATAAAACGTGCGGCTTTGTGACATATCTAAATAACGAAAAGAAACAGTCAGAATTAATGGAAACGATGTAAATCGATTGGCCGGTGTTCGGTCAAGTTCGTCAACCTTTTACTGGTTGACGAACCAGGTCAATGATAGCGTTTGGTAACTACGCAATTCATAATTTAATATCACACAATATCAAACGTACATTGACGTGTGAAAAAAAATTAGAACGCGACAAACACATTCAACAGTATGTACAATAAAATAAAAATATTAAATTTATCAATATATAATCAAATCAAAAATTTTAATTAAAATCTAATTTTAAAATAAAACTCAGCTTTGTAATTTAAAAATTAATTAAGCCGTTTGAAGCTGCCACTGTTTCAATATAAACAACTAAAATAATTATTTTTGTTTAAAATGTAGTTTAAAATAATTTTTACTCGAGGCATACACAAAACTAATAACGCATATGTTGATTTAGATAAGATGGATAGCGTTGATGCTTTGCCTGTTATCGGCAGTTTTCGGTCAATTGGATTTGCCACCGTACAGAGATGACGGAGATCGCAGACTTCCTTCTAACGAATTGGATTATCGAAACATTTTAGCTCAACTAGACTTTCTTGGTGCAGAGAGATGCAGCGCTAACGTAGCCGCCCAATGGGCGTACGAAACGAATGCAAACGACTATACACAGTTGCAAGCGGTAAGTCCGAAAGTTAAATATATTTTGGGAAAAGTTATTTTTCTAACTTTTTTTAATTTTGTCACATGTTAGAATTTTGTCTATCTATCATATCGAACGATTTCGAAACTTTCTTGTTAAGCAGGCTGACAAATTTCGAAATTTTTTGGAAGCGTAACCCGCATGCCTGCTCCTTTATTTACAATTTAGGCCACTTGACGAAATACGCTATTATCAATTTTGTATACGAACGCGTCAATAGTGCGATAAATTACTGACATAATAGGTCAATCAGACTTCAAACAATCAGATAATCAAACTTTGACTTTGATATACATAGGTATAGCACTCAGAAAAATTTTATTCTATCAATAGTCTAGACGATAATTTATTCCTTCAACGGCAATTCATCTGATCACAAATCGATTGATCGGGTTAATTCGAGTACATCCCTGCACACTGTCAGTCGTGATTGTTTTGTTTACACGAGATAAAACATTACTCTATTTCTCGTTCCACTTCCTTTAGAGAGTAAAAGTGAAATTCTATCTTCTATGAATCCGCCAGCCAAGGCTACAGACTAAGACTTTGAGATTGAAAAAGTTTAATTAAAATAATACTCAATCTCTTAAAGAACGGCAATGTTTTTCGCGTGTTGTTAAATTAAAAATTTTTACAAATATACAGGAGTATCTTTCAAGCATTAAAAAAGCGGCACAAAAAATATTAGTTTATAACTGCAGGAAATTTTTACCAAAGAAAGAAATTACAGAAATAGAACTAATAAATATAAAAGTTTAGGATTGAATTTTAACGCTAAAACAAAATATACGGTGACAACCGTGGAAAATGAGCCGCGTACAATCGCAAACGTTTCTCATCCACCCTACGGAACGTCTCCGAAGCGACCTCGACCTCCTCCCGCGCGATTCTTGACGGGATCTGTATACATTGACTTATTCATCGGTTGGCGAATAGCCGGCACCAAAATTACTTTGGTAGGCATCGCGCGATCACGATTTTCCCTCGTACGAGACCGTTCATATTGTCTGCGAAAGGCCGAACGCCTCCGCGGGAAATTTTCCCAGGCGATCTTATTGTTATCATAGTTATCTTAGACGATTTTGCAATTGCGCAGCCGTCGTGTGTCGCCGGGAAACGGGAATTTTGTATCTTTCAAACCTAGCGAGACTCGTGTCGCATGACGTTAATGATAATCGAGGTGCCGTTTTCCTTTTCCGTGACGGACAACGTCGATATATAGCGAACCGCCGCCTTGCTAGATGCTCATTATCGCATGACAGATATTAGTGACTAGTCCGGAAATTTTTCTTTTGAACAAACTGTTTTTGTAGTTAATTATTTAATTTATAAAACATTTTTAACACATTTCGAATATTATAATTATAACTTTCATATAAGTACACGAAAAAATATAATACACGTAAATATATTGTACAATAATTATATGTTTGATTTTAGTAAGCAACGCTTTTTACTACGCTTTCAAATAGAAAGATTCGAATGCAATTTCACTTTCTTAGTAGTTTTTCTCTGAACATAGGTTAGTGGCGGGAAAAGTGTAGATACGACGGCTTTATCGCTAACGGTAAACCGTTGTTCGCCAATTTGCACTTTACTGCGTATTTCCTTATTTGTTACATATTATTTTTTGCGCCATTTATATAAATAATAATAATTATATAATGAGGCGTAGCATATTTTCAAAATTCTATGTTACTTTAATTGCATGAGATATTCAATATAAGACATCACATTATTATTTTAGTCAATTTAGATAATTAGTCAATTAAGAAAAATATATATTATCTACATGTAAAATTGATCTAAGCATTATTTTCTATAAATATAATAAAAGAATATTCTTTTCACTTCTGGGAAAATTAAATTAAATAAAAATTATCTTCAATGCATGATCTTAACATTTACGTTTTATATTTTCAGTTGGATGCTCAACGATTATATGCAGATTTTCAATTACACGCTTGGCTTTTAACCTCTAAAATCGATATAAATGCGATTCGAGATCCTGTAATCAGACGACGACTTCGCTATTTATTCGTCGTAGGTCCTTCAGCATTGCCACCTGATCAACTAGATAGAGTAAGTGCTAATGGTATTCAGCTAAATCCACTCGTAATAATAGCAATCTTATATCGTTAAACTGAGAGTAAATTCATAGTGATAATAAAGTTACTCTTTTTTGCAGTACAATCGCATAATCAACGACATGCTTGCGGTATATAATGGGGCGACTATATGCGCTTACAACGATCCCTTCCGATGTGAACTACGTTTATATCCAGGTAATGTATCATAAATTAAATTGAATAACGATAATCAAATGGATACGGTTCGCCGCGGCGAAATTCCATGAGAGTTTACGTAAGTCCAAAATGCGCATGAAAGTGTGAAGAAGTGGAATATCACGCGCGCGCACGCCGCAGTAGACCCTCTTTTTTTCCGTTCAATTTATGAAAACCTCTGTGCTGCTATATGCGCCTCTAATTGTCTGTTATTTTTATATTTAATGTAAATATATGCGTGAGCCCATTTAGACGTAAAGTAAACACATCCCAAGGTACGTAGAATATATGCGCGCAAGTAGAAAGCGAATAATTAATTGAACGAAGACGCTACGCAGTTAAATGCAGTTTAGCGTAGGAATTTAATTACGCTCGTGTCTGGCATGTGAAATGATGATTGGCATTTCTCAAGCATTGGGCTTCACACGGGAAAAGAATAGATGAGTTTACGGGACTCGACGAAGGAATTTACGGTTCATGTCAGTACGTAATACGAACAGATGAATGTTACGCCGCGGTCGCTTTATGTCTAGTAATAATCACAGTGTGTAAGATCCCGACGTAAATTTTACGTTCCTCAAACGAGAGAGAGCTGCGCCGTCGGCTTGTCCGCAAATCGTTAAGAAAATTTACCACGCTCTGCGATCGTAGTAATAAATGACAAGCAAGCCACTTAAATTTAATATTATAGATATATATTTCTGATATTTATTTTAAAACAGTGAAAAACGCGGCAAATACGCAAATTAATAATTAAAAACTTTGTTAAACAATATAAAGTGCTCTCATTTCTAATATTTGTAATGAATTCTAATTGTATAGATTGGGATAAATGAAAGAGAACAGATTGCTTGCACGATTAGCGGGAACGCCAAGATATTGAAGAGAATCGCGTATAGATGATAAAACATCTAAAAAATATGAACTTTGCACTGATCGCATTCTTTGTTCTATTATTGCAGATATATCGCAAATTATGGCGAAAAGTCGAGACTGGGACGAGTTGCAGTACGTCTGGACTGAGTGGAGAAGACGAAGCGGCACACCAATTAGGGATCTGTATCAACAACTTGTTACACTGAACAATGACGCTGCAAGATTGAATAGTACGTTCGACTTTGAGTTGAAAGTATAATTTATTAAATAAAATTCGCAACGCTAACGAAACCGATTAGGAAATAATTTTGTTTCAAGATTGCAAAGAGAAAACAAGTATTAAAATTATTTTCTCCCATCAGCAAATGTCAAGATTATTCAATGCTTGAATTAATTGATGTATATAGAATACGACGTAAAAAATAAATGTTAATTAATTCATATGTTAAATACAATATCGACACTAACTAGACGTCAAAAATATGAAGTACTTAAATTATTATTTCTTTTTATAGATTTTACTGATGCGGCCGAATATTGGATGTTCCCGTACGAATCTACCAGTTTCCAACAGGATATTGATCAAGTTTGGGAAACAATACGTCCACTTTATGAAGAATTGCACGCTTATATTCGCAAAAAGCTGAGAGATCTTTATGGTCCTGAAAAAATCGGCGGACATGCGCCCCTACCGTCTCACATCCTTGGTAAGAACAAAGTTAGCAGTTAGATATTAATAAATTTTTCAATACAAAGTTGTTTATGACTTCACTCAATTTTTTTAACGTAACAATATTATTTACTCTATGGTCACTGCTGCAGGTAACATATGGGGACAATCTTGGACTAATCTTTTGGATCTTACTCTACCGTACCCTGGAAAAACATATCCCGATGTTACGAAGGAAATGCAAGCTCAAGTAAAATTTCCTCATTTTCTAAATATTATAATCAATGTCGTTATTGTTATTATACATAGGAAATATAATCGATGAGAAAATTATTAAGTAGCCTAACAACTGAATATTATGATGTTGTAGGGTTACACACCAATTGATATGATTCGAGTGGCCGAGGAATTTTATCTATCCATGAACTTGAGCGCTTTACCGCCAGAATTTTGGGCCGGAAGCATAATCACGGATCCTGGCGACCGTCCAATAATCTGCCAAGCTTCTGCATGGGACTTTTGCAATCGTATAGATTACAGGTAACATTAATGCTCGTAATGCATATTGTAATTAATTAACATATGTATATGATAATGTAAATATCAACAACAAATTTTTTGTTGATTATCTTAAATTCTTGAAGACATCGTAAACTTTGAGATATTATTTCTGTCAAGATTTTGATGTAATAATGAGAGTTCTTAATATATTGTTATTTATGTTTAGGATTAAGATGTGTACAAAGGTGACAATGAAGGATTTGATAACTCTACATCACGAGATGGCACACGTTCAGTACTTCTTACGTTACAGCGGTCTACCTCGCGAATTTCGAGACGGCGCTAATCCAGGTATGAAAATATTATATGTACATCTAAAATTTTTATTATTAATCTTTTTTCTATAATTATTAAATAAACACAAATAAATCAGACTATATATGCACGTGCAATTATGTCATGTAAATTTAAATTTAAATTTATTGGCGAATATTATTTAAATTTCAGCTTTTTATTATTTTTATAATTGCAATTAAAAGTTTTACTAAAATAAAAAATTAATAAATAATGAACAAAATATAAATTAATCATAAAAAGCACGATATTAAAAAAATCAAATTTTTTGCGACAGAATAAATACAAAAATATAATAAAATATAATATTTTTCTATAATAAATAAATATATACTGAATAGTGCTTTGTCATAAAATATTACGTTTTTAAAATACAAGACGTTACATATTTTTTTATCGCGACATGCGAGCGCAAGAATAAGAAATTGCATCACGCCAGGAAGAAAACGCAAGCGTCAAACTAGAACAAAAGGATAGAAGATAGCTAGTGATGATGGCATCGAACAGACGACACGCATTACGTAACAGCCGCTCCTGGCCGACTTCCGGAAAGCACAACCGCTTGTACACTTTTACGGCTAGCAACTAAAAGAGAGAGCGAGAGCGATACGCTCGAGGTGTACACTCTGCACTACACTATTCGCGAATAGGCGAATGGATGTCGACGACGTGCGCGCGCGGATGTTAAAATATTTTTATTACGATATAATCGCGCTTTCACCGTGGCAACGACTGGCCGGCCGGTCCGGTCGTTCGCCTTATACCGGAACACGGATTGTTTCGAATCAACGAGAATAGCTTCGCAGTGAGAGACGGCCTTGCTCTCATTTAATCGGTTTCGCATAAAATTTGCATGCGATAAATCTGTCACATAAACACGCTATGAAAGTTTATTATTACATAATTTTAAATAATTTTTAATTTTGATTTCTGTAATCATAAAGATATCCTCTGATTTAAATTTGTCTTGTATTAATATATTATTGCCAATTATCATTGCCACTTATTTTGTCCAATTATTAATTGAAATTATTTTGTATATGTTACAAATGCTCGTCTTACGTACATATATTATCCAAGTTTTCATCTATATTTCGTATTTTTTAATAATTAATAAAATATTAATTAATTAGACGTTACAAAATCGCGCTATAATTAATTACACGTTCGCACGCCAGGCATAGTGAATTCACAATTTGCATAGTGAAACGTGATAAAAGAAAGAAAATAATCAGCATCACCCGCTACGCTCGACTTGTCCACGCAAAATCGTAATTATATCTTGGTTTACACTAATTGTAAATCACATCACGCGCAAAAAGTCAGCGGGCTATCCGGCGGGAGACCGGAGAACCTCGAGAAACTTTGCAATAATCCTAGACGGAACTCACAACGACAAGCCATCTGTTTCGTCTGACGTCTGACTTTCACCGATCGATTATTAAACAGTTGAACTCCTTCAAAACATTTACAGCACACACAAGTTATCTTGCAGAACAACTCAAAATTCAGAATCAAAATAACAAAGAAAATTTATGCGACTATATAAGTCGTCTAGTAGAATTGTGCATTCTCATCATAGATGAAATGAAAAATTACTGAATAATTTAATGTAACACTCACTATAATATCCAGCACTATAATGTAATAAATTCATAATTGACATTAATTTAATAATCATTATTGTAAAAAAAGTTTATTGAAAATATTATTTTATAATAAAATTCTAAAGAAGGTAAATAGTAATCTCCGTTAATCTTATTAGTTATTATATTATTATGACAATTACACTATTGCTGGATATTATAATCGTGGCTGCAATAAATAATCTTTCAACTGATAGAAATATCACTATAATCACCAGGATTCCATGAAGCGGTCGGCGAGGCTATCGCTTTGAGTGTCGCGACGCCGCGTCACATGCAAACTCTTGGCCTAGCTAACAAATACATCGACGAACGTTCCGCGGATATCAACTACCTCTTCTCCTTGGCAATGGACAAACTAGTGTTGCTACCTTTTAGCATCGCGATGGACCGATGGCGATGGGATATTTTTCGCGGCTACATTAATAAGGAGGAATACAATTGCCATTGGCACAGACTGAAGGAACAATACACGGGCACGAAACCACCGGTTCTGAGATCCGAAGATGACTTCGATCCAGGTGCAAAATATCACGTCCCAGCCAACATTCCCTACATACGGTGAGTACTGCATTCTAATTTTATTTCATTACTAATTTAGTAAATCTAAGTCGGAGTTACGCGCGCTTATAATAATCGATTATTTTGCATAAAAATTATTATTAGCAGTAATTAATTTCTAATCTCCTTTGGCCATCATAATAATTAAGATAATTATGGCCAAGATTAGATACGCGGGAAAATCGTGAGAATATAATAACAGGAAGAACAATACTTTTGCAATCATAGATAACACATATGTATTCACTGTGTGTGAAACACACAGTATTATGTAATTGTCAATTGTGTATATGTATTATTACTATTATGTACATATTTCAATAATGAATTGTACTTACTCATCAGTTAGTATTGCAATTTGGTCTACTCGTTGCTGATTTTATATACTTCGGTTTAAAAAACCGTGAATTTATATTGTATTTTTCATATCGCAATACATATATGAAACGCAAACTCAAGATAAACTTTATGTTGCAATTGAATTAAGAATTAAATAATAGATGCAAATTAATCAGATAAATGTAAGAAAACTAACGGAATTGCAATGAAAAAAAGAGATAATATATCGATATTTTTTCTACTGAATTACATTTGATATCAAGGACTCTTGATTTGTTTTTTAAATCATATCATAGTAAAGGCTTTAAATTTTACGATGCTTGATGAAAAAAAGAATTATACGATAAAATGTGTTTGCATAAAAGCAAACAAATTACATCAATTGCTGTATAAGTAATTGTATCAATAATCAGCTTTTCCATTGCACCAATAAAGTGCATCTACAACTGTATTTTGACAGTTTATTTGCAAAAACATGAATAATTAAATATATTAATACAATTAAGTAAAAAATATACTAATATGCATTAAAATTTAATCTTATATATTCCAAATTAATATTTCTAGAATTGTACTTTTTTAATTCAGTATTTAATAATTTAAATCTCCATAAAATTTTTTCTATATATATTTATATTATTTTTATTTTAAAAATTTTGTAATTTTATTATTGAATACATTAATACATTGACACAAATTGCATACTTATGTGCAAATTTTGAAATTTGCTACTGTTAAGATAAGAAAAAGTTATTTTACATTTTATTATTTACTTATAAAAATAGCACATACCGCTAACGAGAAGGTGACTGTCAAATCATGATTATATAATAAATATTCATGAATCAAACGACAGCAGAGGATATCAATATTTTGTGTAATTATATAAATATAATGAGAATGAATCGACTCACCGGTCGTTGTATCCTAAAGCAAAATACGCCGTATCAGCTGTACCTGGAGAAATTAATACATATTTTAATTATAATAAGTCATCATACATTTTACATATGTTGATTATTATTATTATTTTGTAATTGTTTCCATTTTAATCATAATTATATGCTCAGTAAATTACATAAATTAATATTTTAAAAAACTGATTAATATTTAATGCATTTCTGAAAGCATTTTAATGAATATTCAAATAATTTAATAACCATTTAATAAATGTAAATTGTGATTATATGTATGTGTTCTCATAGTAATGTACATATTTTCAAAATAATAAATTATATAAATTATAATAAAAATTATAATAAAAAGAATATAATAATATAATAATAATAATATAATAAAAAGAATAAATAATTGTATTTACCTGCTAGGATATTGCAGTTTGCTGTGCCCGCTGCAGAATCCATCTCAAACTGCTTCGCCTTAATTCCGCCGAAGAATCAGTGAATTCCAGAAATCCACACTTATTATTCACCACTCACACTACGAGCGAAAACTGATCCGCACACTTCACTTACGCGAAAATCACGAAGTTGCTACAACAGCTTTAGATTTTCTTAAGCAAATGTAGGAATTACTTTGCTATATCTATGACATTAAAATCTGCATAGTCACTAAACTAACCTATTTGGATACACGGTCTGATCTCTCAATGATCACCGCTGTTAATCGCGAACATTTGCAATAAATAATACATTCCGGCAATCGCGCGTCACTTTAATCGGCACTTCCGATAAGAACGCGATATGCGAAATGCATCCACGCATGCTGCAACGCGTCCACGCATATAACTATCTCGATTATTATAACTTTACATTTCGCGATTAACTTGACACTACATACACACTTCGAGCGAGTGAGACGGACGACAATCGTTTTGGCGATCGCGCTATTATTGTCAGTTACAAACACGTATACAACAACTACGTTTTGTCTGATTCAATTTCGACTAAATTTTCATGCTTTATCTAAGCAAAAATATACTGTGTTTAGATTTTCTTAAGCAAATGTAGGAATTATTTTGCATATCTATGACATTAAAATCTGCATAGTCGTTAAACTAACCTCTTTGGATACACGGTCTGACTCCTTCGAATACGCGGTCTGATCTCTCAATGATCACCGCTGTTAATCGCGCACATTTGCAATAAACAATACATTCCGGCAATCGCGCGTCACTTTAATCGGCACTCCCGACAAAAATTCGCAATCATTATGCACTACTATGAATAAAATACACAATTAAATTTACGTTTTGCAAAACGTTCGCGGCATTTCGCGGAAGTTAGGAACCGGGGAAAGGACGGGGTGGCGCATCCGCGATTACGCGCACTATTTACCGGCTATTAAATTTTCTTCCGGTTGGAGTCTGGTTCGAGGCTATATTTACGGTTACGGAATGCAAAGTGCAAACGCTTCGTGAAACATAAATAATTGCGTATAGTAATCACGAGGTAAGGCTGCATAAGGATTGCGAATTTTTGTCAGTAATGTCAATTAAAGTAATGGGCGATTGTCGGAATGTATTATTTATCGCGGATATTTGTACTTAATAGTGTTTCGCCGATTGTCCACCGGCCGTAGATCCAAATAGGTTATGATCTCAGTAAACACAAATTTTCTTGCCAAAGCGCGGATAATAATCTCTACACTTAAAAGGATCGCAGTATATTTTTCTATATATGTGGCTTGTTAGAAATTCTGTTCGGAGAAATTAAATTCGACAAAACATATTCGTTGTTTTGTAGATGTTTATACCTGAAAAATCTTCACGCGATCGTCAAAACAATTGCTCGTCTCTCTCTCGCTTTCTTTGAATCTATTAAATGAATTACGAAATATGTAAATATTAATATTGTCCATATTTATGTGTACACGCATTGTGGCATAAATTGTGTTTTATACTACATCTCACACTTGCATTTCGTGCACCGCAGCGTAATAAATTCGTAGTATAATTTTGTGTAATTTTGCGTGTAAAGTGTGCGTTTTGATTTTTATCCGGTGGTGTGTGTAATTGTCAATGTTTACTTCTGATATTCACCAATTCTTCGATGGAGCTGTTGCGGAACAGTCTAAAACAGATTCTTCAGCCGTAAAGCAAACTGCAATATCCTAACTGGTAAATATTAATTATTTTTATTAATTAAATACGTATCTCACATAATTATAATCATTAAATAATACGTAATTAATCAACATACATAAATGATAATTTCTAATAATTATTATAAAATACATGTACATTGATTTCTCTAGGTACAGCTGACAGCGTATGTAGCTAACAATAAGATAGAACGATTGGTGAGTTAATTTATTATAATTGTACAAAATGTACTGATATCTTCTGACATTTTATTTATCAATATTTATTATATAATTGCTATAAACCGTTCTTTGATAATTACATCTACGACTGCAATTTACATTAACACAAATAAATGATCACATACAAAATCACTTTTTCGTTTAAAATATAAGTTATTATCTCATCAAATTATAAAAACTTAATTTAGAAATTAAAATATTGAAGATATAAATTTTGAAAATATAATGTTTAATATAATTTCAATACAACATGAATTAATCTTTTTAATAAAATCAAATTTTTAATGTATTTGCAAAATAACTAATTGTCGAAGTACGGTTTTGGAAGCACAATTTGTGCAACAAAAAAACCATAATTATTGGTATAATTGCTTATGCAGCATCACTGAGCATCATAAAGATTTATTTTTATATAAAATGGGGGGTCAAAAGGATATCCATTAGATCTTTATAATTATACAAATAATTTTTAGCTATTTAATTTATATTTGCAACACAAAATGCATTTTATTTCGCGTTTGATGTGTATGCCGCAGCGTAGCAAATACACAATTCGTATTTTTCGAAAGTATAGTTCGCGGATTAACTTTCATTCGGTGTGCATAACTGTGATATTCATCGATTATTCGATGGAGTTGATGCGGAACAGTTAGGCGGAATTTGCAGTGGGTGGAGCAAATTGCAATACCTAGTTAGAGGAGTATATAATTGTGTAGAGTTATTTATTCATTATTGAAATAGTATATAATTGTGATAACAGATCGTACACAATTACAATTACAACTTCGAGAAGTCTCTCTATCTTGTTGATTTGATAATAAAATACCACCTGCTGCATACTTTCATACGTTGATTTCCAATACGCCTGAAGCGAATAATCCTGCTGCGAACAATATCGTGCACCCGCGTGCCTTATGTACAAGATCGGCGATTTCACTTTCGATCCACGATCTCGTGCTTCTCCTCTTATGATTTGCTCCTTGGCAGATCAGTTAAAGGAGAAAGAGCGGCAAAGAACCCTTTCTCCAACTATCATTACGCGTTGTAGCTAAACCGACGTGCGTCGAGTCGAGTTTAATGCCTGAAATCCACATGCCAAATGATAGATTGAGGGGCAGTACAAGACGCTGTCTGCTCGCTGATATCATCGAATCGGAAGTGTTACGTATGAGCTCTTTCCTTCGTTAGTCATGCTAGATAAAAGAAAGTCCCATTTCCATCGACCATACGAGGTTAATTACGCATAGAGGCTCTTGCCGTGCTAATTATTAGGCGAATTTCCGCGTACACCGCGGCGCGGCCGAAATTGCGGCGAGAATAGCTTTCGCCCGCTCTACTCTTCCTGCTCTACTGCCGAAACGAAAATCTAAACAATGTCTCTGTTACAAAGAAACTATCGCTCGCGCGAAGTGAATGTCGTGCACCGTCGGAATAAATAATTGGACACACCGCGTAAAGTTCAAGGATATTAATACTAATTAATGTACAAAAATATGCAAAAAATTTATCTTGTAATTTATAATTAACCGTATAATTGCTTTTTTCTGAATAAATATTAAGAAAATTTAATATACAATTTAGATTAATTTGTTCCAATTTAATGGCTAATTTAATTTAATTTTGTTCACAAAAAAGGAATATGAAAGTAAGTTGCATAGTTAATTTTACAGCATACAAAATTGCATAGTAAACAAAATTTATTGAAAAAAAATAAATGTATTAAAATAAATACAAACAAATTCGTGTTTTATGTGGAAAGCGGATATGAGACTAGGATAAATTCGAAGGCTGCTATTTTTTTGCTCTTTGGTTTTATTAGAAAGAAGCGAAAGACATTGTACAGAAACGTCCGTTATATATTTCGAACGTTGCAAAAAACACATAGTATAATATGTGTTTATAGGTACTTAAGAGTCGATACTACATCTAGGAAATCGTTAGCGCGAACTCGCAACACCCAGAATCACCTTTCGTAACGCAAAGCGGCAGTTTTGCAGACTCATCTTCCTCGCTGGGCTTCGCAGCGAAGTCGATGTTAAGTTTAGGAAAATAAATACGTCCGCGTTTTCTTCGCAGACACACGCTCTGCGAGTGATAAATTGGAACTCGCGAGCCTTGTCCGCCAAGGAAACGCTTCGTTAACGCTCCCGAATAAAAAGTCAGCCGCTAACCGCGTTACGAATCACATTGCTCCACGGTTTCTCTTTCGACGCGATGCGACCATTACAAGGGTAGAAAAAAAAGATATTATCGCATAATCCGTAATGAGCGCCGATAGCATCCGCGCGTGCGATGCAGCGGAGGATTTGCACATGAGCCCATGAGGCCTGTGAGTCTTACAATTAGCTATTTATACAAATTACTGTACTAATACTAATTTGTTCCACGGATACATGAATTTTAATATTTTTATACATATGCAACATTGATTAAAACGCGTCGAGTCGTGTTAAGAAATTCTTTCTTGGCAACTCTTTTTTACTCTCCAGCGATTATTAGCGACTTTATTATCTCAATGTGTTTCTTTTTTTCCTCCTCCCTTTTTTCCCCGTCTTTTGAGCAAATCCCCACTGTCACGTTTTTTTTTTTTTTTTTTTCTTTTCTTTTTTTGATATTAGTATCCCGAATGTCCCGAATATCCCGAATATCCCCCGAAGCTGGACTCGTAATCACCCGCCGAAATACCACCGTGGTCGTGCTCGTGCACTGGTACCGCTACCGGCACTTTTACGGGATACGGCACCGCCTTGGGTACCGTCACAGGCACCGGCTTCGTCACATGAACCGGCACGGGTCGCACGACAGGCACTTTTACGGCGTAGGGCACGGCTTCTCGACCGGGACGGCCACCGGCTTCTCCACCGGATACGGCGCCGGTACCGGTATCTTAACGTGCACGGGCACCGGCTTATCCACGGGTACTGCTACGGGTCGTTCGACGTGAACTTTGACCGGGTAGGGTACCTTCTTCTCCACCGGATACGGCACCGGCTTCTCCACCGGGACCGGGTAAGGTTTGACTATGTGTACGGGATACGGTCGTTCGACGGGCACATTCACCGGGTACGGTACCGGTTTCTCCACCGGGAAGGGCTGCGGTACGTGCACGGGAACCTTCACTGTGTACGGCACCGGTTTCTCCACCGGGAAGGGCTGCGGCACCGGTACCTTCACCGGATACGGTATCTTCTTCTCCACCGGATACGGCTGCGGGATGTATACCTTGTAGGGCACCGGCCTTTCTACCGGCACGTGAACGGGATAGGGCACTTTCTTCTCGACCGGATACGGCTGGGGTATGTGTACGGGCACCTTCACCAAAACCTTCACCGGTATCGGAATTTTCTTCTCGACCGGATAGGGCTGCGGTACCGGCACTTTAACCGGATACGGTATTTCTTTCTCCACCGGATAGTGAACCTTCTTCTCCACCGGAACGGGCACCTTCTCCGTCTTCACGATCGTGATTTGTTTAATCTTGCCGCCGTCGTCGTGCCCTCCGCCGTATCCGCCGCCGATGTCCCCGCCGCCGATGTGTCCGCCGCCGATGTCTCCGCCGCCGATGTGCCCGCCGCCGATGTCCCCGCCGCCGATATGTCCGCCGAAATCGTGACCTCCGCCGTAATCGCCGCCACCGCCGCCGCCGTAATCGCCGCCGCCGTAATCGCCACCGCCGTAACCGCCACCGCCGTAACCGCCGTCATCGTGTCCGAAATCGCTCTCGATTAAACCGCGCTTGTCCTGCTTCTTCTCCTCGCCTCCGTCATTTTCGCGCGACGCGATCTCCTTACTCGCCTTCTCCTTCTGCTTCTCGCACACGGCCAAGGCCAGCAGACCCGCAAGTAGCGTGAGAAACTGCAATCGATAGAAACATCGTGCCGATTACATCAGTCGTTTACGCTATCTCTTAGATCATGTAGGAATTTATGCGCGTGTTAAGTACCGTTGTCAATGCCGCGGAACGGTATAATATGAAGCGTATTAAAATTAAATACATAAAACAAACTACTGATCTCTTAAGCTAGGATTTATCTTTTGATCGTATGATTTATCCCGTCGGAGATAAAATAATCACATTTCCAATAATCGAAAACAAATGTCGATAGCTCTTAATCACGGTTAATTTATTGGACTTTGAAAATCCGACTGAGTTTTCTATTTTTAATATTTATTTGAAGTAACATCTTGAGCTCAAGCAGATGTGCAAGCAAGAAAGTTGAACGGATTTAATTTGCAAATCTAAACGCGACTAATTTAGCTTGTTGTATGAACTCACCAAAATTCTCATGTCTATGATCTCTCACGAACCGATTAAAGTCCAGACTTTACTGGATGCTTCCCCCCAAGATACCGCCGTCTTTATAGCCCGCTTTCCCCCGACACGTATCAAGCAAGCCCCTCTGCACTCTCGCGGAAAAGTGAAACACACGTTTGGCATTCGCCCGACGCGCACACGGCGTTATGGCATTTTTTTTATAAATCTTATGCACACAAGCGACGGTGCTTCCATAATCGTGCTCAACGGCGTAGCTATTATGGAAAATGCGGAACACCGGAAGTTGCTATAACGATGATGTTCAAAAAATCAAAACTAGGAAGTATACTTATCGCAAATGAAAATGTTTTGTAACTCTATTCCTCGCTCGAAAGAAATGAATGCTTTGAAAAAATGTTTAAATATGAATACAAGAGATAAAAAAGTATGCTAAAGAGATTACAAATGTGCTAAGAGAGATTTAATACGCTAAAGAGATAAAAAAAAGATTTTTACAAAAAATCAAATATCTCTAAAAACAATTATTCTCTCTTGGTTTTACAAAGAATATTAAATATGTTATACACTCTGTTTCGTTAAACAATGTATAATTTCGAGATCAACTTGTAATTTTTTTCTGATATTTCGGTCTCAAAATCAAATCGCGATCCTTTCTCATGTTTAATCCTTTTAGTCCTGTTACGCTACTGAGAAACGTGTAGATGCGTTTCAATTCTTCTGCTACTATCATTTCCCTCCTCTTGCGAACTAGCCAACCTCCCTCCGGCGTTTTCCATCTCGTCCAAGTTTCTCGTTGGTATGCATCGTCCGGCAGGACGACGGAGTGCCCCCTCCGTATCCGGTCCCCACGGAAGGACGCGGCAATGGTTGGAGCACTATACGAGTTCTCTCGGCCGAGACGAGAAACACGACGACGAACGCCTAACGGTCGCTCCTGTGGTCCGAGGGAGACCGCGAGAGGAAGAACTGGGAGCGGTAAGAGGAGAGAAAAAGTGAAAAGTCGGAGGGAGAGAGACGGTGTTACGCGGTGCAAAGAGAAGATACAGATCCTAGAATATTGTACGCCAATGTGAGATCGACCGCGTTAATATATGCCGTTTACTAGGAGCGCCGTGCAGTAGATCTCGTGATTTGTTCCGCTTAAGAAATACTTAATACGAGGGATATAACGGTGATTGAGAACAAAGCATACGGCGATAAATAGTACAATTGTGATTGGATTTAAGTAGATTGATTCAAATAGATTGTAATATCGAACGCTTTATCATTATTGCACTCGAGGATGTAGCGAGTTTAATTACTCGCTGCAATTAAGAAATACACTAAATAGTATATTAATGAAAGAAAGTAGCGTGGAAGAAAAAAACTTTAATGAAAATAATATAATATCCTGGCTATTTAATAAAAAAGAACGTGGGTGAAATATAACCAAATTATTTCATTTGGAAAATATAATAAATCTTTTGTACGGAGAAAAATAGAGAAAAATGCGATAAGGTAATTGAATGAGAGTTATTCTTCTTAATAAAAAGCTGAAAATGTGATTTTTTGTACAAAAATATATTCTTTTACTTGGATATTCAGAGATAGATGCATATCTGTAGCGATAGCTGCAAAGCGAAAAAAACGAAAAGCAGTAAGCGAAACTAATTATTACTGTAGAAGAAAAAAGTGAATGCACTTAGACGCACACAGGCGCACACAGACGCACACATTATTCCGGCTAAAATTAGAGCAGCTGAAGATTAAAGACGCTAAGTATTCTTGATGATACCGATAGAAGTCGCGGTTTCACTGACTAATACACGCACTCGCACGGATACTTTTACAACACTTGCGGAAGACACATAAATGATAACATGAACATATTTTGAAATATTAAGATTTATTACAGAGTAAGATTGAAGTTTCACACGCGTAAACTGTTGCCATTAATAATATTAGCCTTTTTATTATTATTATATAACGTAAAACATGCCTGTACATGCATTGTATTACTTCCTGATTCTGATTACTTTAAAACGAAAAACGATTTTCTTAGAGTAACATGTTGACGCAACCAAAGTTTGACGCAAATGCCACAGCAAAAATAATACACATAAATGCGGATCAATTAACGGAACTATTAACGATGTTTATATATATAATATGTTTATATATATAATATGTTCAGTAATAAGAGCAAGGTTTGCTTTTATTAATTTATTAAAATTTTATGATTGGCATTTATTTCTCTCTTTCTCTGATTATATATAAATAGGAAAATGATAATTAAGTAGAAAAACAATTTCTATCATTTTATTTATTAGTTTTATTTATATACTGGGATGGTAATCAAATATTCATAAATCAATGATAAAGATGCATACGTATATTCTATTGCGTAAGTCTATTAGAGAGTTTTATATTATGTAATTAAGCTTTTTCTATGATTTAATTAAGATACGTCGTTCGCAATTTTAATTTACGAACTTAAGAATTAGTGATATGATTATTCTTGGAATTAGAAATCCTCGACTTTCTAGAATGCCATTTTAATGAAATAATACCGCCAATCAAGCTATACCTATATCAACGAATATATTACAATTAAACTTCACATATCGATCAAATCTTTGCCATAATTATTGGCACTGATAAATCGATAAGTCAATAGAATATTACAAAATTGACGGAAATATAATAACAGTAACTTAGTTATTTAGTTGTTTTTCAATAAGAAAACATAAAATAAAATAATTTTAATTAATGTATTGTAACAAAATAATTTATAAAAATTAATTTCTATTTTAATTACTAAAATGCTTTGAAACTTGTCTAAACTTAACAAGTCGATTACAATAATTTAATTAATTTAATCGATACTTTTATATTTCACAGACATCTTATTTTTTTTCTAAATTATCTAAAATATACTTATCAAAAGTTTTATAAAGAGATTCAAACAGCGTTAACGATAAATTACTTGTCGTTTTACAAACTTTGTGGCTTTACCGCTTGAACGATTTACGATTCAATTAAGTGTTGTGGTCGGTGCCATTTATTGACACTAATCCTCGCGCTTTCACTTACTACCAGATCTTCCTTGGCCTTGATATTACCTTGATTCTTCCAACCAAGCTCGACGGGAGCTGGAACTTCGACAACGTAGGGGAAGGGCTTCTTTACCGGGACGAGTATCGGCTTGGTCTGGTACACTTCGTAAGGCTTGTCTCGGGGTACTTTAATTGGAACAGAATAGGGTTTCACCACCTCTATCGGTACAGGTTTCTCCACAACATACGGTTGAGGATCCGGCACTTTGACAGGTATCGGAACCGGCCTCTCCACCGGCACCGGATACGGTTTTTCCACCGGTACTTTGATTTTTACCGGATACGGTTTAGGCACTTCCACCGGGTAGAGTTTGGCCACCTCCACCGGATACGGTTTCGGCACTGGTACGGGATACGGTCGGTCGACAGCGACCTTCACCGGTATCGCCACCTTCTTCTCGACCTCGTACGGGGTCGGCACCTTCACCGGCACTTTGACTTCGTAGGGTACTGGCTTGTCGACGGTGTACGGCTGCGGCACCGGCACCTTTACTTCGACCGGAATTCTTTTCTCGATCGTATACGGCTGCGGCACCGGCACCTCGACCTTGTACGGCACGGGATTGTCGACCTTCACCGCGTAAGGAACTCGCTTCTCGATGTGATAAGGTTCCGGTGAATCGACCGGCACGTTGATAAAGACGTTCACCGGATAAGGCACTCGCCTTTCCACCGTGTACGGCTGCGGTACGGGTACTTTAATCTCATACGGAATATGTTTATAAATCGCATACGGAATCTTCTTTTCGATCGTCACTGGTACCGGCACCTTCCTCTCGAGGGTCACAATCTTCTCCTTCGGTTTATCCCAACTAATGTCCTCGTGGGACCAATCGCTTCTCGGAAATCTTCTCCAAGTGTCTGATTTACTCTCGAAATCGATCTTAACAGGCCATGCGCGAAAATCTCTGTCTCCCGCATCTCGAGGGGTAAGTCTCGCGCCTCGGGAATATGTGTTCCATTCTTCGACGTCTTCTTCTGACGCCAATTCATCATCCACCGGCTCGTGTCTATCGTTGTAACCGTCGTAGTCTTTTTTCTCTTTGCGCGGATCTTTTCTAACGTTAGAATAAAACTCGCGGACGATTTTCGACTCCGTCGTCGTATTTCCACTGTCGAGGGCTTTTTCCACTGCCCTTTCGGCCGCCCTCTCGGCTGCTTTTTCCACTGCAAGTTCCGCAGCCCTTTCGAGCTCCTCTCTACGACTAGCCGACGAAGTAAGGGCAATTCCGAGACACAAAAATGCGATTAAGCATTGCCACTGTTTAAAGAAATATATTACATAAAAGTATAAAAATAATTCAAAAAATATATGCAAAAAAACACATAAGATTTCTGCATGGAAATTTTTAATCAAATAATTATTGATAGAATTTCTTTATTTATTATATCAAATTTAAATATTTCGAAATAGAATATATCAATTAATGAAAGAAGAAAAAAAAATTTATTTTACAGAATAAAATGTAAAATAATAAATTTGATACTTATTATGAAAGAAAAATTAACAAACAAAATTACAGAACTTACTTGATGGCCCATGATAATATCTTTGCGATCAAGACGATAGATCGACCTATACTGAATCCAAACGGAAAGATATCCTACTATTATTTATACACCATGAACAACTTTCGCCGGTTCAACCAGCTGGACCTTTATAGCTTTGCAGTACCTTATTCGTGACAGTTATCCACGCTTAAGCGACTATTATTGTTTTGTGGCCTAACTGCGTTTATTCGCAAGAAACGAACCATGCTACCTGTTTTAAAGCCGAGGCAAAATGAGAAACGCATAAGCAGTTGCGCTCGCAACCTGTCTCTCCTAGAGAAATGCAAGTTTCTACTTAAAAACTTTTTTCGTTCAATGCTTTGCTCAGCTACTGACACTGAAATTAATCCTAATATATTTTTGTTTATATTTTATTAATTTCAAAAAAATTACTGTTTGTAATGTATATAGAAACAACAATTGATATAATAATATATTTTATTTGCTGAGAAAAAATATTTATAATAGTACGCATTAAAAGAAGATTTTTATAGAGCTTTCTATATTATGATACAGAAGTAGGAATACGTTTCGAGGTTTCTATAGAAGTAAATTCAATTTGACATATAATGAGAACGCATATGTTGCTATTTATTGTCACGTTCTAGTTCATTAATCCATACGAGGATACCAGATTAGTTATGTTATTTATGACGGATGAAAGCGGATAGGTACTTTCTATGCCGAATCGTAAAACCAAATAGTCCGTGCACCGTCATGGAGTTTTTATCTTCTCAGAATATTCGGCTATATTTTCCAAAAGCAGTAATCTTCTGGCATCTTTCTTTTGCTGATTAAACTTTCGGTAACGATAATTTCTCTGATTTATTAATATTTAACGTATAAAATGCCGTTGTAGATTTAAATTACAAAAAGAATGGTTTTGGAAAAGGAACATTATAATAAAATTTGCATTTATTTATTCATTTTCATATTGTATCGCATATTAATTACCAGCTAATATTATTTAAAATAAATTAATTAGACAATTTGCAGTGCTTGTTGCATTAATGCAAATAAAGAGAACTATATGCCTTCCACATTGTAAACAAATGCCAGACTTTTATGCAGATTGCTTGATTTATGTACGATATAATCACTTTCTTTCACAACAAATTGAATAATTCGATCGAATTTCTCGGATCAGTAACACCAGTGAAACCGAAACCGGTGTAAAAGTGCTCTCTACATGTCTTGCCTTCTCGAAGTCGCAAAGAACTTTCCCACTTTACAGTGGTTGTACACCACTTGCTCGTATATTTATACGCTTCTCGAAACTTTCTTTTAATATTTCCCGTAGACATGGCTGGAAAAAAGCATTCGTCATTTGAAAATGACAGTACCGGACGAGCGCTATTTATTTTATCACTTTCATTTTTCCAATAATAATATCTCAAATTTATGTAAGTTGGGCACAGCGGTATCTTTACAATATGGAAAAGTTTAAAAGAAATTGTAAGATACGCTACTTTGGATGCGTATTACGCGAACTATAATCATTTATTTCGTAAAGTTTGCACTCGCCGTAAAGAAAAGCATAAGATGATATAAGAGCGTATTCATAATTGCTTCGCATACAAGTACATTAATTATATCTGCATAGATATCTTACATAGATTTGAAAGTGTTTTGCTAAAAAGTTGAGGTGCACGACAATATCTTTCTCTATTTATTGATTTATTAATATATCGTAATCAAGTGAAAGGTGCAAAATCGAAGAAAAGATTATATGACAATTATAAATTTAAATACTGTATTTTAGATAATAGAAAGTACTTTAATTTTTATACAAGGAAACGATATATATTTCTAAGAAATATATCGTTTATGTAACAATGCATTTATATTTATTATTGAAACAATTTGAACTTGCAATTAACTCGTAATATAAATTTATGCGAGTTACGCACTTAGTTTATCAATACAACTTGTTTTAATTTTTAATTTGAAATCAGGCAGTATATTGTTATAAGATAAAAAAGGAATTGCATAATTGATAATACACACGTATTGTACGTAATAAATTTATTTCTAAATTATTGTGCATACTTTGCATACTTAAAATAAATATATAAATAATAAATATAATAAATATATATAATGAATTATCAATTAAAATTTCAAGTAGTTAAAAATCAATTTATTGTTTTGTCAATTTAATTCAATAATAATTGTCATAATATGTACTATGATTATTCATGATATGCACAATTGTTTCTTATAATACAGCAAAAGAAACAGACGTTCCATAATCACAATCACGGTCAATGTCACCGGTCGACTGTTGCTTGTACAAATCAGTTACAATGTGACAATCCTGTCTCGATGTAATTACGAGTAGGCGAAAGTGAACGTGACTGGAATTAAAACGATGACAGAGAGATTTAATGATTGACTCAGACATCGCGTATTGAACGTATATCGCAAGAAGTTAATTGCTAACATTTATTTGATTAGATTCTAGTACTATCTAATTTCATTAATTATCTTCATTTACGCGTTAATTGTTTGGAGAAAATTGTTGCAAGCAATTAGAAATAAAACCGACTAATTATGTTGAATTTTTACAAATCATATTACGTCTTAATTAAAATATTATTTGAGTTGATGTGATAAGGTTTGGATGGGAATCATTTTATTAAACAATATCTATTGTTTATTTTCACAGCGTTACAATATTTCAACAATACATATTATTACCGACGACATTATGGTAAAAAAATTCTGTTTATATACGAAGTACAAAGTAATAATAATAGATAATGTTACAAAAATGGCGTTTTATATACACCGTTCATTAAAAAATTCGACGCGCTTCAATAAAATAATTGTAGGTCGATGATGTTCCGTTTTACAAAATACACAGATTTGTTTTAATAAATAATTTTTGTCCTATAATATTAAAATCGTATCTTTATCTTTTATCAACATAGCAAAGTTTGAGTGAAATTTGTTTTGAGGTGCATCGATTTTTTTGACAAGCAGCGTGTATATTTTGCATATATTCAAGTAAAAAAATTTTTAAATAAAGTAAAATAAATATTCTAAAAAGAAGTCGGTAACAAATGCATAATTCAATGCATACTTACCATTAAAAATAATGATAATTATGCAATTGCATAACTACCGTTATTTATAATCTCATATTTGCTTATTTATTTATTTATATATTTGCATATTTGCATGTCTTCTTATACATCCTCTATATTATCTATATTCGATCGTTGCATATTGAATTTAATTCCATTCGAAAGAGAGAAGAATTTAATTCTATTATCATTCATATCATTTGACTTATTTTCGTGAGTGTATTTCATGTAGTGTATTTCGACCGTATTCCTCGTATTTGGCACTCTCCGTACCGCCTTCGTGTATTGGCACCGCAACCGGCACCTTAACCGGATAAGGAACAGGTTTCTCGATGTGGTACTCAACTGGCTTAGTCACATGAATCGGTACAGGCCTCTCGATCGGTATTTTTACCGGTACAGGCACGAAATTTTCAACGGCGTACGGTACCTTTTTTTCGACCGGGTAAGGCGCTGGTATCGGGATCCTTACTTCGTACGGTATCGGCTTGTCCACCGGAACGGGTATTGGCCTTATCACCTTTACTTCGACCGGAACCGGAACCGGTTTCTCAACAGGATACGGAATTGGTTTTGCGACCGCTACCGGATATGGCTTGGGTACCGGAACCGGTACTGGTTTGTCCACCGTGATCCTCACGGGATAGTGAACGACTTTCTCAACTGGATAGGGCTGCGGTACACGCACCGGTATCTTCACCGGCACCGGTATCTTTCGTTCTATGGGGAACGGCTTCGGTACGGGGACCTTCACTTCATAATGTATCCTTTTCTCGACGGGATACGGTTCCGGGACGTACACCTTCACCGGAACAGGACGGTCCACGGGCACCTTAACCGGATACGGAATCTCCTTGATGACCGGTACCGGCCGCGGAATCTTCACGGGAACTTTGACGATGACCTTCACAGGATACGGTATCTCTTTTTCGATCGCGTACGGCTGCGGAATCGGCACTTTGACCGGATACAGTATCTTCTTGATCACGGGATATCGGATGGTCTTTTCTACAGGATACGGCACCGCAACTTTCTTTATAATCGTCACCGTTTTGTGCGCGTCTTCGTGTATGTGTCGATCTAATATCTGACCGTGGTGTACGGCTTGTCCACCTCCTCCTTCGCCATTCAATTCAGCACCGTGACTCTTTTGCAGTTCATATCCACTTTCATGATTAGGTTTGAAATATTCAATATGAGATTCTGAAACTGGAATTATTGCTCGAATTAATGGTGGAATTTCATTTGGAATTTATATTTATGTTATCTTAATAGATATATTGCACATGTTTAATTAAAAAAATAGAAAGTAATTAAATAATGTTTTACGTGCATATTACAACTTCTTTCTTTTTTTAAATATTCTATGCTTATTATTTTTACGTTTATCGAATTTTAATTGTTAAAATAGATTTTATCTAAATATCTGTTATAATATAAATGTATAAATGTTTCAATTCTTACATAATTAATTTTGCTAAATACATTTAAATACTTACATTGATTATCTCTGGGCTCATCTTGTTCGGTTTTATGTAACTCCATATTATTGATATAAATGTTTCCTTCTCCAACATAATTGGCTCTATTTTGTCTTACATGCAAAGGCATTATTTGATGAACATATTGCGCAGGGAAATGATTATACATATATACATGTTTGTTATAATTATCACCAACCGGAAAACTCATCACCGTTGTTGCGAAGAATGACAATAAGAGCATCGCGTTTCCCTGCAAATAGCAAAATTTAACTTTACAAATTGTTCTTATGTTTACGCAATTAAAGTTATTCTTTAAAAATATTTTACTACTTATATCAATACCTTAAAGATAAATAATATATGCTATAAAGAAGTTGCAATATTTTAGCTCGAATAAAAGCATATTAAATTAAGATTATTTCATAAAAGACACATGATCACAAACATTTTCACAAATAAGTCCGAGAAATCAATTATCTTTTCTCCAACTAAACTATTATGTTAAACTTATAAAAGCACAGTAACCAAGAGAATATATTCACTCTGCTTTATTTATAATAATTTTTGTTTCAAGCAAAAAATTTCATAGCGGCATTGTTTTTTAAAAAATTTATTTTTTTGTGATATATATTCTTTCTTGAAATGACTAATTTAATTATTTTTATCTAAATATTAATCTTAATATTGTTTATATAAATATATGTATTTTACAAAAGTAATATGACAAAGTTATAAAAGAAATAGCAAGACTGAACAAATTTATAATTCAGAAACTACACTCTAACAAAATTCATGTTTTATTTTATAAAATATGTAGCACAAACACCATTTTTTTGAGAGAATAATTCCACACAATAGCACAATTTGATTCAACACTCATTCACACTATCGATTGTTTTCAACGTAGAAACGTACCCCATGTTCCATCTTGAACGAAGTAATAGAACAATCGCCTGAGAAAAATCTTCGAGCACCTTGCTCGAGTTAAGAGTAAATAGATCAGTCGCATACTTTTACCATCTTTTATATATGGCTACCACGACCACGCATTACTGAACTAGAGGCTGGACATGCGATGGCTTCTTCAAGAGGGGATGGTCACTTTCGCGTTTCAACGCGAGACGAGACAAGAGTGAAATTGTCTTTTTTGAAACAACTAAAAGTTAATCTGCAAAAACCACTAGCATACACTAGTTCTAATAGGCTTGCCCGTAAAGAGAAACACATTTTTTATTTCAGTGGCGAGAATCACTCTCTTCTTTTATGGAATGTTAACATTTTCTCAGATTTTCTTGACCATGATCTTGAAATGATAGAAAATATCGTTGCGTTTATCGCAAGTGTATAAAATAACAAACATAAATTTACTGCCAAAGTATCATAAATAAGAAAGCGTACAATAATAAGATTATAATTAAATTAAATTTTATAAAAATCATCTTAATATTTCATAAAAACCTTACTTATAGACGTAAAGATGGTCTTTATCGTCGAGTCCGATATTACTTGCATAATTTACTTGTTGCATGACAAAGTCATTGCTGCCGGAAACATAACCGGTCATTTGAAAACGTAAGCACGAATCTAAATCCGGTAAATTAGATTTTACCGATTCGCATCGCAGCCTCGCCAAGATAACATCGTAAACAGAAAGTGAAAAGTGTCAAAGACCTTTTCACGCGATTGCGGAAATTTGCGCGGTGAAACCAGATAATCACTAGCGATGATCGCTATAAATGATCTTTCAATACTAAATGTCACCCAAAAATTATGAAGAATAGCATTCCGTAGTAAATTGATTAATTAAAGAGACGGAATGGGTTTAGCTAGTAACTATACGTAAAATTACATAAATCTTTCTATCGAACCAAGCGACCTTTGTTTAAAGATAATCCACAAGTTATCTAATATATCCAAAATTTTTTATTATAATTAAATTATATAGAATTTTTACTTATTGCTTGTTTCTTATTAAATTGCACATGGACCAGCTAACTAATTATAGCATAACTACTAATTATAGCTTAGACATCTTATCCGAAGCGATAATCTCACTTGGATTCGTGCAAAGATGATATCACGAATCAGTTATGCAGAACTAATTTTCTGTTCATGAGAGAGATAACAGCGTGCTACGCGACGGCATATTTACATTTAAAAGCTTGTATAGAGCGGTAAAATTAATATGACACGGATGTTTCAACACACTTTTGCAAGGAGAAAATGGTGTTCGCATTGTTCCGCGTCGTTTTGCACGAATTTCGTGATGTTCACGCGATCTTAACCGTAGATCACCGATCTTTGTCATCATTATCTTTTAACGCGCTCGCGTGTCAGATATTTAACATGACAGCAACCACATTGTCTTAATTAGCTGTACGATCCACACGTCGTTACCCGCGATTTCGCGAATTGTTCGCAGCTTTTTGTGATGGATCGCAAACAGGGAGAGAGTTTATCGTCTCATCAGACAAGTCTTTTGTCCAAGATACACAGACCGATGAAAACGCAGTGCACTGTGGAAGAAGTCACGTTCATAAATGAAAGGTCAACAATGCGAAAGTGTGATGCTTTTCGCAGTGACGATATTATTAAGACTTTTCCAAATGTGCACCTGAGATGAGAGAATCCTTCCTTAAACGAGGAAGTCGAAAGCGAGGAAGTGCGCGCGATGCGCTTTGAAGGCGCTTCCGGATATTTAGTTCATGACACAAATGTGAGATTTATCGAGCGATAAACATAAAGAGATGGTACATTTGCGCAAATATGAATATAACAATTATTATATTAATTCACTGAAGAGCCTATTTGGAATGAGCTTTTTAAATCGCGGTGTCGACATAGTAAATGCTAATATAATAATAGTAATTTTCCAGTCTCACTCGCGCGATGACTACTTAGCTAAAAAATTAGTCTTGCGAGACTAATTATATGTTAACAATACTTATTTTAATATATCTTTTCAATTACAGCTGTTTTATGCGGCGCGTTTAAATGTTAAAAGATTTATGATGAAACACATCACTAGTAAATTAGTAATTTATTTCTAAAGAAGAAAGAGAGGAAGATTCGTAAATTAAACGTCGTTAATAAACACGATACCTTTGGCTTGAAGCCAATAAACTTTAACGTGAATAAACTTACTTTCGTAATTAGTGTCCCCTTAATAACGGCGGAACTACATATTTGCACGCTCGTAAACTTTCTTACATCTTTCATATGTAGGTTTTGCCTTCACTCTCGAGATCACTGCGTTATTAAATGCGTACTTTCTAGCACACGTGAGATGGCAAAGATAACATATTTTAGTCATAAAAAATGACATCGTTCTGATTATACCTATTATTTAATCTTGTGATTACATTTCTGTAGCCTGTTTAATTTCAAGGCACTAATACGACGATGATGAAAAGAGAAGTAATGCAAATGTATCATCAGATATTAGATATTATATTATATGAAAAACATTGCGTAATATGTGTGCAGGACAGTGTGCACTAATAGCAATATGTAAAAATTAATAAATAATAATTTAATTCCATTTTTTTTTTTTCAATTAAAGCATTTGCTATTTTTAGAGAACATTTACTGATTAAAATTTACAAAAAATATATATATTGCTTCGTAAATGATTGATTAATACATTTTAAACTGCACTGTGATTTCTAATAATTCTGTTTTGCAGTCTAAGCTTAAAATTATAACAAATTGTCATTCACGATAGCAATTGTGATAAATCGCCCCTCTCAAACGCATAATCACCGAGAGTGCGGAGTGGAATCATGATTTGTTCGCGTCATTACTTTCGCTTATCATGTTCTCACAATATAATTTATAATGCCTACAAACTGCTTGCTACTTAAATATTAACAATCTACAGTAACTACAGTCGATACTGTTTCTCACGACATACATCCCAGATAAATTTTACACATCCCAATCATTTCAGATATCTGCGGGTAATAATAATGTAGAAATAAGAAAATCAAATCTTAACGAATGAAAATTTGCATTTGATACGTGTTTTAAGATTATAATAATTAGCAAAATATTTTTAAACAGTTTTGATTAGATGATAAAATTACATTCCTATTTACCTACTCTTAGGGTAACACAATGTTTAGAGTTAATTCACATATTTGCTTAATATAAAAATTTAGTGAATTTTGCGCACAAAGTAAGACAGTTTACTGGAGATACGGGCTGTAAAGTAGAATATTATTGAACCCTTACAACTGAACCCAGCATTCTAGTATAAAAAATTAGTCCCGACAAAATTTCTATACATATACATAAATAGGTACATTTAAAAAAATGAAATGGGACGAAATAAAGTTAATAAAAAAGACAGAAATATGTAATAAGTAAAAATATTGTAATAATTTATAACACGACGTTATATTATATTGTCTGATATATTGTCTCATTTAATTTTTTTTAATGGCGACTCTTCTGTGAGTTAAATTCAAATTCGTTATTGAATACTTTTTTCACTGGTTGCATTTTTGCTTTAATAATTTTTATTATTATAGTAGGGTATTTTTTGTAACTTTTTTTTGTAATTTTTCTTTCGCGTTAGAGTTCGACAGGCATTTTATTTCCTTAATTAAAAATTATTTATTTTGATATTATGTACTGGTATCTTTGTTATATCAGCAAATGTGAAAGCAACAAGCTGACTTACCGGTTACCATCGTTGAAAGTAGTTGAGAGAAGTACCGTTCTTTCTAAATTGAATGAAGACTGAAACATTTAATCAATGTGCATGATAAGAAATTAAAATTAATCATTGATGATTATAGAAATTAATTTAATTTTCAAAAGGATTGTTCAATATTGTTCAACATTGTTTGATTCAATTGTACGCAACGTTAACGTAAATAATTTATTACTTGAATTAGTTTGAATTAATTAACTTGAATCTTTCAGTCTATAAAATAATTTCTTAATTGATTACATCATTTACTTACATTTAACACTGCATCATGAGCGCAGACTTAAAAATAAAATGAATTACACATTACAAATGTCACATAACTGGCTTGAAATCCTCTCACTAATATGAGATGATGGAAAATTTTGTAATAAAATTATTAAACGCAGAAGATAAACATGATGATGGCGATAATCACAAAATTATTAGTTTGACTAATACAATTTTACTTTAAAAGTAAAATGCTTTATTTAAATCATTAAATTAAATTCTATATTCTGTTTTTTAGGAAATATTTCGATATTATAAAATTTGACTTATTTTACTTTATTTTAAATATTGTAATAATTATAACGATCAAAAATTCAATTTTTTATCATAATTAAATGTCTATTAAAATAAGATTTTTTTCACAATATATTCATAAAAATACATATATATTTTAAATTTAATAATATTAAAAGTCAAGAATCTGAAGCCACAAAACTGGTTGTTGGTTGTTTATTAATTTTCTTTATTTTAACATTTATACGTTTTGGTCAATCTTTTTCGCCATCTTTAGTTCTTATCCTCAAATTTTAACGAACCCGAATCATACATTAATGTTGACTGCTTCGTTTATAATTACATATGATCATTAATTCTGAGAATGCGGAGCCAGATTTCCGCCACAGTTGTCCGCAGTAGATCTTACTATACATATTAAAAACAGTCATGTGTGAATCTGACTTTGCAGTCTCAGAATTAATGATCATATGTAAACGACGTAATCAACATTAATGTATGATTCGGGTTCGTTAAAATTTAAGGATGAAAAACTATGCACTAAAGATGGTCAAAAAAGATCGACTGAAACGTATAAGTGTAAAAATAAAGAAGATAAGCAATCAACAACCGGTTTTGCGGCTCCAGATCCTCGACTTTCAATATTATTAATTACCGCAAGCCTAATATATTGGAAGTTTATTTCAATTTTAAATAATTTTAAACTTATTAACGTTCTGATAAGCAACTACTTTAACTTTCTCGCTTGTAGTAGTGCCATAGTATTTAAAATCCTTACGGTGCGATATTTTTATCAAAGTATAAAACATGCAAATGTCTTAAAAAGCGTCGTTTCGCGAGTCAAGGCGAAAAGGTGCGGCGTGATAAATAAAGGAAGCGAAAGGACTCGTATCGGGCCTGGAAAACGGATGAAAAGGGAAGTGGGCTTCGCGGCAGCACGATCTTTCTCGGCGTGCTACGGTGAGGCGAAGGGGAGACTCTTACTTTCAGCCTCGGCGTCGCGTGCGCTAATGGCGCGATTGCATAACCGTTCCCGTACTGCGGACGAGTACGTAAGTCGTTGCTCGTGAGTCAAGTGGCAAAGCCAGCGCGCGCTCCGACCGAAGTGGGTCGTGCAGAAATTAGTCGCGGATGCATCGGCTTTTCCTACGCAGGCATCGCAAATGGCTGCGTTCAGACCAGGGCCTTGTCGCAACAAAACATTAGGATTGGATCACGAAGAGCGGAATAATGAAGTCAATCAAAAATCAATTGTCTCGCGCGCTCTTCGGGGCTTTTTCATCGGTCGATTGCACCTCTGCACCGCGGCAGTTTATCGTAAATCGATATAGCGGAATGAGCTGCTTTTCATTGCTCTTTTTTACATCTTGCAAGTCTGCAAAGTTTTTTTCTTAGACTATGAAAATCAAGATTTTGCATGAATATATTATCCTGTATAAATTTTCCACAGGATATAAATACAAACACAGTGTGTTTACACGTCAAATTGTTAGATTGCTGCCAGCTACTGGTATACAATTAGTCTGTACTTTGCAAAAATGTATCGCTTTCAAAATATCAAAATTGGATTAAAAAGATCATAGGATTAATGTTGATTAAAATCTCGGAAAAGGGCACGATAACTTTTTGCGTTACTAGATCGCATGTACCATAAGTTTTCGTTAGGCGCTAACTTTGAGAATCCTTATTTACTTAGCTTCGTTATATTAATTTAATTCCGGATTAAATGTGCGTAATTTTCCTGCGAAGGAAAGAACACCAACGTGAGGGAATTCAATCAAACTTCAATGTTTCTCGAGAAAATATAAGCACAGGATAATGAAGGTCGAAATAACGAATTTAATTAAATATTGAACACATCATACCACAACAATGCGTACATTTTCTTCAAGGTTCTACGAGACGTAGACTCCTTCATTTAATTTCTCGGAAGCTCTACTAAATAATTAATATGCACGAAACAAATGTAAAACAAAACTGCTCTTTAATTAGTGGTGGTATATCCGTTTAATGTAAAAAAATTTTACGGCTGTCAATAATATAATATAAAGAATTCAAGAAAAGAGAAGATAAACAATTAAGAAAGAATATATAAAAAATAATGCAACGAAATAAAACGTCAATTCTATTTTAGAAATGCAAATTCTTCAATATTATTATTGTAGGTATTAAAAGTACTGTAGCTTTGGAAATCAATTCTTTAAGTAGATCGCAGTTTATTTCTAAACATCTTTTCGTGCGACCCATAGAACTAGCTTTAAAAAATTAAAGAGAGAGTAATGATACTATCAAGGTTATCGATTTGGTAGGAACACGTTAATGGCGGAAACTAGGTCGACGACTCATCATTCAATTTCGTATTGTCGATAGAATGCAGTGACATTTACCGATAACAAATGAGCTCGTTATAGACAGTTGTCTAAGATATTTTAAGAAGAATTGACAATTTCAAGCTTGTTCTTTAGCAATGCTATTTTTCAAAACCTATTTGTAAATTTCTTAATAATATTAACGTATTGTATATTCTATTGTTAAATGCAATTGTTCTGAATATGTTTTCTTTCTTATTGAATTTGTTTCTTATGAATTTTTTTTTATTTATTCTATAATAATATGCTTCTTATTTGTTAAGAGGGCGGAAATGTTTGGAAAAATAGTTAGGAAAAATAAATTAATCACAGAAGACACATCAATGTAATTACTTTACAATAATAATATTTATTACGTTTTCTGTAAAAAAATACATACTTTGCTAATATCGGTACAAAAGTAAGACAAGCGAGTTGCTCTCGAGCGAAGATCGTTAAAGATCGAGTACATCCCTACTGGTCATTCGTTCTTCCTAACTGGCACACGTCGCCGTGCCGCGCCCTCGTTGCAATCGATCGGCCTCGCGGTCCGGTGCGTGATCATTTACCGGAGATGGTCCCCGATCCGATCCAGGTACAAAAGCGGATATCACGGCGGTGCACGACAACGTTTCGGATCGTATCCTTCGTATCCTAAGGCGCAAGGTCCACGCGGTTGTCCGTTGTCGGCGCTTGAGAGAGATTTACGAGGCGACAACGGAGAACCAATCGGGAATTTGTGATATTTAGTGATGATGACCGTAGCCTATATCGCTCTCGTATCCACCGGCGTAGTAGCCGCCGTGATCGTGATGCGCGGACACGTGGTGCAGGGGCTCCTGGTGCACGTGCTCGTGGTGCACTGGCACCGCTACCGGCACTTTAACCGGGTAGGGCACCGGCTTCTCCACCGGATAGGGCACAGGCTTCTCGATGTGAACGGGGTACGGCCTGTCGACTGGAACCTTGACTGCCACCGGCACGGGTCTCTCCACTGGGTACGGCACCGGTTTCTCGACTGGATACGGCTGCGGCACTGGTACCTTGACCGCGACTGGCACGGGCCTCTCAACTGGAACCGGGTACGGCCTGTCAACTGCAACCTTCACGGGGTAGGGTACTGGTTTCTCGACTGGGTAAGGCACGGGCCTGTCGATGTGCACGGGGTAGGGCTTGGGAACGGGCACGTGGATGGGACGGTCGACTGGAACTTTGACGGGGTAGGGTACGAGCTTCTCGACCGGGTAGGGTTGGGGTACGTGGACCGGGACCTTCACCGGTACGGGAACGTGTTTCTCAACTGGGTACGGTTGCGGCACTAGTACTTTTACGGGGACGTGGATGTGCTTCTCGACGGGGTAAGGTTGCGGTACGAGAACCTTGACTGGGTAGGGACGATCGACGGGTACGTGCACCGGGTAGGGCACCTTCTTCTCCACCGGGTACGGCTGGGGCACGTGAACGGGCACCTTCACCAAGACCTTGACGGGGTAAGGCACGTGCTTTTCGACCGGGTACGGCTGCGGCACCGGCACTTTGACGGGGACCGGTACGGGCTTCTCCACCGGATAGGGCACGTGCTTCTCCACGGGGTAAGGCACGGCGACGTTCTTCACCACGGTCACGGTCTTCACGTGATCATGGTGGCCGTGGTGACCGTGGTCGATGTATCCACCGCCGAGGTATCCGCCGCCGATGTATCCACTGCCGATGTATCCGCCGAGACCGTTCGCGCCGTATCCGCCGGCACCGTGCGCGCTGTATCCGCCGTATCCGCCGGCACCGTGCGCGCCGTATCCGCTGCTCAGGTCGAGGCCGACATGTCCGCCGGATCCAATATCGTATCCGCCGTCGTAGCCGTAACCGTAGCCGAGGCCTAGCAGGCCTCGCTTCTCTTGCTTCTTCTCAACGGGCTTTTCCCCCGTTGCTTTCTCGACTTTCTCGGTTTTCTCCGACAATACTGTCGCGACCACGAGGGCGACAACTGCCACGTAAACCTGAAAAACACGCAATATCATCTGTCGTAATGGTTGACGTAAATAATCTCAGCTTACGGCTCATTAATTGCGAAACCTCTAATCAACGGGAAAACGTGAAGGACGTGTATATTGAAGAAAAAAAAAAAATACGAACGCGAGACTGAGCCTTTCTACTAATAACGTACAATATCAATAAATGCGTAATAATTAATTACATGTCGCTGTTACGAAAGGATATATATAAAAATGTATATCTTTTCTTTCTCTTTTTATTTTTTATATTTTAGAATGATAAAAAATCGACTTATTTTCTTCGCGTGTTAATAAAAATCTATTCCGACCTATGATTTTACATACAAGTACATCACCGCACGATGTAATATATAAATGTATTCTTCGGACTTTAATAAAAATTTCGTATTATATTCGAATCGCGCAATTAGTCGGACATTAATAAAATACAAAATACTCGTTTAAAAACACACTCCGCGACGAAGAGCATTCAAAATTCTCTAATAATTTTGAAGTCGAAACTATCGAGAGGGCAAAGACACGCGCGCTTAATATCCCTCGAACGATTCACACCCCCGGTTAATCCCGAGACTCTCGTTCACTTATCGCAGGTGCCGTTATCTACTCTTCGGTACACGTTTCTCGCGTTCCGGCGACGCGACACCTGGGCGAAAAGTATCGCAAGCGAGTCGACTACGGCTCGGAGGACGTACCAGGATTCTCATTTTTGCTCTCGCGATGTTCCGGGTGCGTCCAGGAGTGAACTGGATGCTGATTGCCGTCGATTCCCTGCCTTATATACGCGGCACACTTTCGCCTTCGCCACCCGGGGCCCGTCGAGTCCGGGGCTCCAAGTCGTATACCCCCCACGTTACACCTCTTTGTTCAGCTACGAGACGACGACGGTCCCACCGTCCGAGCGACCACCACTCCCCTTTGGGACAGACGCCCCACTCTCCCTCTTCACCCTCCCCGTACAAATACAAACGCGCGCTGGCGCGCTCGCGCGTCGCGATGAAACCTTCCTCTCCTTCTTTAGCGAACGGGTTTCGTTCTCTTCCTTCTTCGAGTGTGTGCCCGCAATGCCGGACTTTTTTTCGCATATCTCCGTCGGTACCTTGACTGCGCTTTAGCTTTATACTTTCTCTGAGAAACGACGGACATACCAATCATGGCGTCCCTTAGTGTCGGAAGTCGCCGACGGGACATCGATCGTGCTCGCGTGCCTTTCCAGTTCGGAGGCGAATTTAAATTTACCAGTACGTGAAAACCCTCGTACCTTCGCACACGTAATGTTTCACGAGAACTTGATCCGGATAAATCTCAATCTGTCTGCCGATACGGATACCGCCGGTAAACGTGCGAGTAAAACGTGACATCACTCTGCGATTCTCGTCGGCTGTCAGTGTGCGTCGGCACGTCGGTTTCACGCGAGATATATATTTATATAAATTATGTATTAAATAAAATTTCACAAAATTGTTAAAAGTTAAATTGGCAATTTTGGCGTTCCTCTAATACGACCTGACAATGTTACGTGAATCTTTTAACTCTGGATTACCTCTTTTCGAAATACAGTTAAAGTGACACTTGGGTTGGGTTAAACTTTTACTACGTGTCGTAGTCGAATTCTTCGAGGTAGAAATGCTGCGTGACCGGAGCGGAAGTCGACAAAACTCTTCCGGGAGATTGGATTGCAACCGCAAAGACGCAATCGAGGATAGAGCATATTATGAAACTCGATATTGCACGTTATTACGAATTGTATAAGCAAATGTTGATTAATTGTACGGAAAAATTATAGATTTATATTAAAGTTTATTGATATAACATTTTCGTTTCCTTTACTTTTTAATAGCAGTTTACAACAAATCATACAGCTTTTACGTTACGCGCGCAAACGTAAAATTTTGACATGTGGCCTAGTTTCTCCGTGCGTAAATTACACTAATTTCTTACCCTTTCTCTACAATTTCACATCCTCCTACACAATTCGCATTCCAATGTTACATCGAACGTCCTCTACGTGCTGCCATATAGTAAATTTCCACCCTATCGCGCCTGAGTAGCTGGCAACATTTTAATCAAACTCGGAAACTTCCTCCTGCTTCATTATCGTGATATTATCAGCCACGATTTCAAATTTATATCTACGTTTATTTATATAAAGGATGATTTCTCAGATGTCAGATGATTCTAATCTCAATTTGTTACACGTTACATTAGTCATAATTATCCTCTAGAAAGATATCTAACTAATTTTATATATAGTTAATTGATGCTAAAAAAAATTGCATCAATAATGTGAGAAACAGTATTTTGGAAGATTTAACGTTTAGACGCCAATAACACTGAAAACAGACAGTTTTAACCAGACAAAATTCCTTTCGTTTTCTAATATTCTCCCCTGCTAAACCTGTTGTACGCCGATCGCACTGACGCAACGTGGCGCATTTCAGGTACGTGCAGTTCAATACGTCATTTTTCGTGGCAATCGGCTGCAACGGTCACGCGAATCGCGCGCGATCAACGTCATCATCCATCCTCTCCCTTTCGCCATTGCTGTTCCGTTTTGCGTCCTCACCTCGCCTGCATACGCGGGGTCCAACGCCTCGCGCGCCACGTAATCGACATACATACATAGCGACCACAAACACGTAAGAGAACGCAAGACACGCCGCTAGAAAATTTATCTCCCGCCGATCTCGTGGGTGCACCGTTGCTCCCTTTCGTGGGACACGCGGTCCAACGTCACGATACCGCTTTCGCGTCGCTCGGTAAAGTTCCGTTTTCCTCTCCCCCTTCCCCTCCGCTTTGCACGCGGCCAAGTATGTCGATGTTTGCTAACGTATTATTCACCGAAACATGATCACCTTACGCGTGGCATTATATCACTCTACCGTGCAAATGATACCGCATAAAGTTATTTCAGAAAATTTATAGTATAAAGTTGTAATTTATCTTTCACAGACGAAAGCGATGCATGTCATCAATGTATTTCGTAATACAGAAATGAAGAAGGAAGAAAGTACATTATTATATATGATGAACGGATAAAACAACAAAAAAGTTTTTGTTTCAGATAAAATTTAATAATCTGGTACATCGAAGTAACTGATTATTATTAATTAGGAACAAATTATTAATTAGACTGAATTAAAATAATTAGAAAAGAAACAAATGAGTGGGTGCTTTGATTTAAAATTCAATTTATTCCGCAGAGAAATTAAATTTAGAATTTGTATGTTTAATTAATTAAAGGAAATAATGAAGGAATTTACTTAAAAATTTTCTGTCGCTTATCTTTATTCTTTGTTTTTATTACTAATGAATTTCATTGTTAAATTTTGCTCTAATTTTTTTCGCCATTAATTTTATTTCGATTTTAATAAAATTTCCATTTATAAGATTACGTTTTCTGAAAAAAAATACATCAAAATCGAGGCTATCGCGATGTCTGTCATTCAGGGCGAAGGTCTTACCTCGGCTCCAACCAACCGTGTAACCTGATTCAATCGTTTTCTCGCGAGACGATTCCTTCCCCTTGAATATTACTCTCCCGTGATGCCAATTGGATGCATTCGCCCACTCATCGTGTGTGGGTAGACAGAAAAGGTTAATCGATGAAATTCGCCAATAAAAGCAGACGCAACTATATAATCAAGTGATTGCCTTCCCGCGTTGAATTTCGCAACAAGGCAAAATTTATGCCAAATTTTATGTTAATGCTCTTCAGCCGGATTTTTCGCTGGCATTTTCTCTCTTTCTACACAATGATAATTATTATAATCAGAAGCATCATAATTAATTAAACGTAGCTATTTATGTATCAGACGTAAAACCAGTGCATCCGGAATCATGCATCTTGTCATGTGGCCGACGAATCTCAGACAACGTTTTTTTATTTTAAGATTCTTTTCTAAAACATGTTCAGGCTGGGAAATCGTGTATTTATTTTATTTTATCGATGATTTCATGGCTAGCAGCATGAATCGTAATATATGCGTATACATATTCAGACGTCATGCGTTACGACACTTTCGTATTTTCAAACGGCAAATCCGCGCGAGAGGACCGTTACAGTCGTGGAAAGTGGAAGTAAATAACGGTTGCAATTCCCAACTGCGCGCGCGGTGCCCAGGTGGATCGCCTGGATGGTATTACGTAAAGGTCGTTGCCGATGAAGAGTCTCTCGGTGAAACGACAACATACTTACCTGCTTATTGCCGAGCGATTCTCTCTTTCTAACTACATGACAGCAAAACGCGGATCTATGCGAGAGTACTGTGTCTCCCGGTCACATTACTTGTTGTATAGAAATCAAGATTCTTCGTAACCTCAACTGACCCCATTGACACTGGCCTTGGAGATGGCCTCTTCAAGGTTTACGAAAATTAATAAGTTAAACATAACGATCGCGTCTTTCACATTTTGCCTTAAATTTTTATCAGATATAAATTAATAATATAATTGTCCTTTTTCATTCCTTTTATAAATATTGTAATATATAATTGGGATATTAAGATTATTAAAAAATACTAATTCAACATTTTATAAAGTATTCACAATTTTACTATTCGCAGAAATTGTTATAAAATTTGCACAATTTTCGTGGAATATTTTCCTGATTCCTCAAGCCTCTGTAATATTTTCATTGTGTATTATAAAATCAGTTTAATAAAATGTCGCACGCGTCTGTCAGGAAAAAAGCTCGTCGGTTTAATGAATAGCCGAACATTTTTCGCATTACGCGTAGACACTTTATATTTTTAAAATTCGCCTCTACAGTGCGATAATTCTTTTCATGCGAGAATAAGACTGATTCAACGCTTCAACGAATCGAGATACGCATGAAAGATATGAAATAAGCTAATTAACTTTCTCCCATATTTTACAGGAATTTCGTGGCTGGAGTTCTTCAATTCCAACTGTATCGCGCGCTGTGCCAGGCGTCGAGACAGAGATACCTCGACGATCCGAGAAGGCCGCTGCACAAATGTGATTTTTACAGAAGCCCGGAGGCCGGGGGAATTCTAGGGTGAGTTAAAAAATTTAATCAATCATCGTCGTTAAGCCGGATAAGCAAGAAGCTTCTTTTACACCACGCCTGGCGTAAAATCCGCCTCGTACGCTCGTTCAGAAACGGAAATGCAGGCGTAAAAGCGGTGTTTTTAATCATCAGTTTTTAATCTACGTGTACTACGTGCTTTCGCAATAAGCACGTTTCTTACTTACGGCACGAATGAACATCGAGATCGATCGCGACCGCCAGGCTGCTTCGCTGAAGTCATTCCGCGAATAAACGGAAACGACCAACGTTCTCGCACGTCGTGCTTGCAAGTCGCGTTTTTACGGTTAAGAAAGCTGCACCGCTATTTTTCGTCCATATTTCAACGTCCAGCAAACAACACGATAGCAACAAGGTGTACAATGGAAGCGGAAAAACGCAAGTACCGCTTTACAATGCTAAACGGTGCATTAAAACCTCATAAAGTATAGACGGACACATAACTCGGTAAAAAGTGTATAACGTCGACAAATGTTAATCATCTACTTAGAAAAAAATATTGATACAGAGTTTTTAAGTTTGTGTGCACGCGTGATACATATTTAAAATAATAATACTTAGAAAAGTCGAGCATTTAATTCAAATGCAGCTTTGAATAGATAAAAATCTGGTGCATATCTAAATAAAGCATCGCGTATATCTAGGTTATTAAATAAAAAATATAAATCATGGAGAATATGACGCAACGGCAAGCGAAAGGAAATAGATGAGACTGCTCAATGATACTGCGACTTTGCAATCAGCTGCTTTATACAGAGCTCCTTTTTTCCAGTTTAAAACATTACTGTTATAGTGTCTTTGAAGAAAAACAAGTATTTTGACACGATTCTGCGTTGCACAATTATGCGCAATTTTTGTTTCGTTAGTTTCGCAAAGTTTATCACCGAAAATAATCATTTATTTCCGTCGCAATTCACAAATTTCTAATTCTGAGTGTAACATTACATTAAAGGCATATTTGAATATCTAATCGCGAAAAGATGAAACTTTTCGAAGGGTGACGACTTTTTTATTATTAAGTTTTATTGCCCACTTCGCTTTCAAAACTTGTTAATTATATACCGTTTCTTGCAAACGAAACGTTCTTGACTCGTCAAGAACCTGGTGCTCATACAAGCAAAGCCGGCTTTATTTTAAAATGTCGGGAATTCGCAAAACCACGCGGCAAGGCGGGGCCGCAATCGATCGATGCCTCATTCCGAGTCTTGACATTTTGGCCCCGAATCTCTTTAAGATTCAAGGTTAAAATTTATGCAGCGTTAATGTGGTATTTTGTCAATCGCTGCGACAAATTTAGAAACGGACGAAATATTTAATCTGAAATGATCGAAAGTATTAAGAAAATTACGCATTGCGCTCCTGTTTCGAAATGTCAGATCATAATTTTCTCCGGCCGTCTTGCTGAATCATTTAAAAAAAATTCAAATTCGCATATTTATGACACATCAACCCCGTCACATATATTATATTACGTATCATAAATATAGATCTCATTTTCCAAATCGTCATGTCAATTAACATGGTCATTTGTGATAAATTATAGTCTACTTCGGGCTAGCTGCTTATGATTTATCAGCTTAATTTTCTATTATTACTAGATGTCCAGTTTAAATTTCGTAATTATCCGCCGTTGCACAATCAAAATTTTTATCCACCGTAAAGCTTCTCGCGTAACTATATCCGGAATGTGGAGCATGAAATCTCTTACGACGATTTCTACATTTATAATTGCACGTCTTCGCAACGGCTGTTCTCGTATGGATATCTTCCGAATAATCGGACGCGAATATAGACACTAACTACTGACTGCAGGTTGAATTCATTACAGAGTGTGTAACGCAGACAATTGTTAGCACTGAGAGAAAGTGGTCGATGCAACGATCCTTAATTGACAGACCCAGTTCTATTTTGACATGTATCTTCAAAGGACAGTCTAAAACATTTCTGTACGTTGCCGATTTTTTCTGGAATTTTAAAATCTTTTTTAAACAATTTTGTCGTCTGGATATTAATGCATGCATGATTCAATGACCATATTAAAATTTTTAACCATGATGAAAAAATTCCATTTTAATTACGCAGTCGTGTCAAGTTGTTAAATTTGCTAATTGTTCTTGAGAAACTCCCAAATTGCATATAAATAAATGACGGTAAACGGATGATAAAATCGTTAAATTAAATTGACGTAAAAGTACGCAATGGCAATAAGCAATAACACAGCGGACCGCCTTGAAAGATGGTGCTAATTGTAAGTAGGCGCTTTTAGCGTCGAGGTAGAATCTCGCATTTATTTCGTCTCGATGTCGGCGCGCAAACTTCTGCGGCGAGATTGTGGTTTTGCGTCGTTGATTACGGGGCGCATTACGCACGCGAGCATGATCATGATCTCCATGCGAGTGTTGCAAGATGCGTACGCGGTAATGACGCTTATTCTTAGATCGTATCGGTCTGCCATAGCAAGACAACGGATTTTGACAGCGGCTTCGTTAACGTTGAATCTCGCCTGCACTTGCTCGGGAATCAGGCTGAATAATTTTCATCTTTATCCTGCGTGACACGCGACCAGTCACCGCGCACTAAATTCCATTCAGTAAACTCAGGCTCGCGGCTGAGCGTTATATCATCACCGATCACTTCTCGATCGCCTTCCCGACAGCAGTTCTCTGACGAATGTTATCTGGGTCAACGACGGGGAGATCTTTATTTGACTCCACAATTCCGCTACGTTCGCCGCTAACACGCCCCATTTGTCTCTCGACATTATTACAATGTACACCGTGTCACTCCTGCAATTTTGTTTAATCAAGATAAATATCCCGATCACGATAATAATAATGATCTTTAGCAGTCGTTTACGGAGAGCGAGGTGCGGATCTTAATTTGCGGAACGGCAAACACGCGTAATCAGGCTGGCACAAAGAACCCGTAAAAGCGAGGAAAAACGCAAAAACATGGGCATTTATAATCAGTGAATGTTAATACTATATCGATATTGTATCGATATTTATATAATCTCTATCGATTACGTGATGAAGTTCTCACACTCATATTTATATATAATATATATAAATATATGGTAATTCCAATATTTGTTAAATAAAATATAATGAAATATTTTCTCATATAATGTCATAACATCGATCGATTGACGTACAGAATCGGCTTTTATAAGAATATTTTAAAAATCCGATCGACCTTCATAACTCACGAAATATCCGATTGCCTTCATATCTCGAGCAATTAAACTCCGGCACATGGACGAAAGGTATGAGATGGGGGGGGGAGGTG